GTAATATGACGGACGCAAGGTGGTTCTCTCGTTCTGGGAGGACGTCATATGACGTTCTCCTATTCTCACCGCGCACAGCTCGTGAGGAGAGGAGAACCGGTAATCGGCTTTCTGCAGAGGGGACATGTACACTGATCATCAGGGCACTGATGATCAGTGTTCCCGTGATAATCAGTGTAGCCTCAGAAGTGCTACTTGCCAGTGTCCATTAGTGCCTTGTGTCAGTGCTCATCAGTGCCTCGTGCCAGAGCCCATCAGTGCCACATCAATGCCACATATCAGTGCCCATCTGAGCTGCCTTTCAGTGTCGCCAGTCAGTGCCACCTATCAATGCCAATCAGTGCCACCTATCAGTGCTGCCAGTCAGTGCCACCTATCAGTGCCGCCTAACAGTGCCAGTCAGTGCTGCCTAACAGTGCCAATCAGTGCCGCCTAACAGTGCCATGTATCAGTGCTGCCTTTCAGTGCCCATCAGTGATGCCTGTCAATGCCCATCAGTGCCTCCTCATCAGTGCCACCTATCAGTGTCCATCAGTGCAGCCTATCAGTGCCCATCGCTGCAGCCTCATTAGCGCACATCAGTGAAAGATAAAAAATCACTTATTTACAACATTTTATAACAAAAACTAAGAAAAAAAACTTTTTTCTTCAAAATTTTCAGTGGTTTTTGGTTTAAGAAAAAATAAAAACCCCAGAGGTGATTAAATACTACCAAAATAAAGCATAACCGCGCAATTGTCATTCAAAATGCGACAGCGCTGAAAGCTGAAAATTGGCCTGGGCAGGAAGGGGGTATAAGTGCCCTGTAGGCTTGTGGTTAATCACCAGATTGGTCATCTGCATCCTCACCCCCTGGAAGGCAACCCCTGGGGACTTCTAGGCCTGGGCTATGGCCCATTTAGTTGAGATAACCTTTGTTAAGAGGCATATAGGTCAGGTATAGGGCAGTGCAGGAGAGCCAATGTGGCATCCTTTCACACCGTTCCATGAAATAGGGTCTGGAGAAGGCCAAACACCCTGGACCAGAACCCCACCAATCTTGGGCAGGACCACTAGGTATGCAGTACGTCCCCTTGTTGACCACAATTTCAAAAACATCTGTCACTGCTCCCAGGAAAGGCATGGGCAAGTCGGGCTGGGACCCAATACCACCTCAGAACTTTGTACATAGCCTCAAGAGTATTTGTGTTAAAGGAACAATTAGCAATGGTTGTCCAAGCCTAACTCCAGTCTGCCAGATCTATGGAAGACTGGAGATCCCACTCCCAGTATGACACATAAGAATGAGGTGCTGATGACGATCGGTCACACAGAGATGCATAAATAGCTGAAATGAGGGCAGTGGACCTTGGGGCATGCTGGCATGTGTGCTCAAAATGGGTCTTGCAGTATTGGAAGGTGGATGTACGACGAATTGCAGAGATCCAATGTTTAAGCTGTAGAAAGATGGGTCTTCATGTGTCTCCCGAACGGCTTCCCAGGTCAGAAAAGGAGCGAGAAGAGAGGAAGTGGTGTACTTTCGTGAACCTGTGAGAAGTCTACCAAGCAAAGGCCTGGGGCTCCTCCAGGCCCGGAGGAAAAAGGGGATTGTAGGTAATGGGCAACAGTGGTAAAATAGGGGACACCAGGTTGCCCAGATATCGAACTAAGTGTCTCATCAAAGGGCTCATGGATGGTGGGCGTAATTTTGGTGGGAGCCAGAGCAATGTGTGGGATGCGATCGGGGCACAATTAGGCAGTTCAAGGAGCATGCAAAGGGGGACATTCAAAGTAGCATGGATAGCGGAGCGACTTGGACCATGATGTAAAAGCTAGATATGTTAGGAATCTGTAAGCCACCCTGCTGCTTGAGAGCATAAAGAGTGCGTCTAGGGACTCTAAGATGTTTCTGGGCCCTTAAAGTATAAGACCTCGTTCACACCATAGTGCGGAGACATGGGTTTTTCTGCACATGTTCTGCAAGGGCACAAAGAAAACCCCAAATTGTTCTTTATGTGCCCTGTTCACACCAGAACTAGTGTTCTACTAGTGTATCACATGCAGCTTTTTTTCTGTGCAGGAATCTGTAACGTGTATAAAACTCACTGAGGTGCTTATGAAAACTGATGTAAACTTGTGTCTCTGCAAGTGAAATCTGCGCGTTTTTTCCATCTTTTTTTTCTGCACGTGTGGTGTGAATGAGGATTAAAGGCAGCTGCAGAATACAACAGCTGGCAGTGGAGAACCTTCGTCCATGCTGTGTAGGCCTTGTTCACAGGGAATGTACGTAAGCAATCCTCATAGAGGGATGTGTTTGTTTACCTACATAGGGATGCACAGGTGTTTGGAGCCATGCACCTATATGGAGGTCAGACTGGGAGCAGCAGCAGTGTCCATGCAGCTGTTGCGTCCCAACTGATATGAATGGGACTGTCTTTGCTGGCATGCACATATACCTGTACATCCCTAAGTGGGCAAACACGGCTTACCCACTTCAGCCCCCGTCAGCTGGAAAATGTCTTAGAACCCCCAAACATTACTGTATATATTTTTTAAAGCAGAGGCCCTAGAGAATAAATTGGTGGTTTTTGTAGCTGTCCAGCTAAGACCAGTCCTAGGTTGTTAATATGGTTCACATATATGTGTATACCAAACCTGCCAATAACCTCAGTACAGTGTATATGGGCATATGTTAAAGCCAAAAGCAGAATCATTGCTGTAATTTATGTCTTTGATTGTTATATGACATTTATATATTCATTGTGTTAGCAGACGCAGAAAAGGTAAATATGCCTTTAAGAGTTAGTTAAAGAAGAGCCAATCACAGACAGCCTCACACTGTACAGAGCCTTAACCAATCCCAGCCAGTTTCACATCTATGCCTGTGTAAAACTCCCTGCTAGGATTTGCTAGAGACACATGCTCACCAGACAGAAGAGGAAACAGACAGTTCCAATCAGAAGAGCTTTATGGAGACAGAGCAGGCCAAATAGGTATTTAATGCACTTGTGTGTTCCTCTATTGTTTGGCAGTGCAGGTGGATCTGTGTGTTGAAACTGTTGTGTGTGTTTTACTTGTAGTTCCACCGAACAAATTTATCGAACAAACTTATCGAATCGAACTTACGAATTTACCGAATCTAACAAATTTATCAAGCTATCAAATCAAACCACTGTAATATAAAGAAATAAGCTACTGTATGATAAATGAAACAAGCCATTGTAAGCAGTGTTATATGAAGAAGATTGAAGTTATTAAAGAAGTTAACTAAAGTATTCGGTGTGCTCTTTAAACCTACTGCATCCATAGAGCGGCATTGGAGGAATTACAGAGTAAAGTCAGTCTAATCAAACAAAGAAACAGCAATTGCATAATTTTTCTAATGCCACAGTGCACAAGGCACCAAAGGGTGCTGCGCCTGCCACAGTTTTTGTTATTTTTTTTGGCACTTGGTAATTTCAGTGGTTTTTAAAATGCAATTTTTGGGACAAAAAATACTTAGAATTTTTAGGAGAAAAAAACAAACAACCCATTGAGTAAATAGATACCAAACATGTCACTCTTTAAAACTGCACACGCTCGTGCAATGACGACAAACAGCTTACATTTTATTATTCATAGGCAATGCTTTAAAAGCCTGTACAGGTTACCACCTTCGATTTACAGAGGAGATCTAGTGCTAGAATTATCTGACGATCGCTGTGATACCCAACGTGTGGGTCAATCTGTTTGCGTGCAGGACGAGTGTTCGCCTTTCGAGCGAGCATGGATAGGGGGAATGCAAGGGGCACGTAAAAATTTTTTTTTGTATTATTAATTTTTTTATTTTTTACACTGTCACTTTAATTTTTTTAATCACTTTTATTGTTGTCACAAGGAATGTAAACATCCCCTGTGACAGCAATAAACACAGGACAGGTATTTTTATGGAGGGATCCCTCCTCTGCACTTGAAAGCATTCAAAACAAAAAGATCAGCGTTATTGAATGCTTTCAGATTTTTAAAAATGGTGTCCAAAGTTTCAGAGCAAACCGGAAGTGATATCAGGTCATCACTTTCAGTTTACAACAAAGGATAGCTGATCAAAGCTTTGTTTGGGATGGAAGCTCCCAACAGAGTGGCAGAAGGGGGGAGGGGGTAATCCAATCGAGTGACTGCTTGTACAAAAGAGCTGACTCTAAAAAGCACTACTGGGGTGTAGGCATCTGCTACAACCATGGAACGTCGCTGGTCCAGAAGTGGTTATGTATGCCCTATATGAACGAGGCCTTGGATTGGATTTTGATTCATTTTTTCTTGTTCAGTGCGTGAGCTAAAAGAATGTTTAAGCCATAATATGGTAGTACACACTGCATACTAGCACATTATGTCAGGCTTACCTTAAGAACATTTCCCTCCATCGACACCTTGTCACCACTGACAGGGTTTCCATTTTCACCCAGTCTTCTGGGTTCCAGCCGTTTGATTGGCCAAGCCACAATGACATCACTCCCATGCATGCAGGATCTCCGGGCACAGCTCAGAGCTCTGTAGATACAGCTTGTCATGCCATTCCTCCAGAGCGCATGCACTAGTGATGTCACTGGCTGCCACTCAATGGAATATCGCGGTGCACGTTTAGGGGATAGTCACTTTACCTATCGGTAAGCTTTATTAAAAATTGTAGATAAAGATGACACAGAAGACGTTACTACCACTTTAACTGCCTCCCGAACACCATATAGTAAAATGATGGACGCAAGGCGGTTCTCTCTTTCTGGGAGGACGTCATATGACATCATCCCATTCTAACTGCACGTGTGGCTCCGCGAGTGCAGTGATCGGTGGTGCGCTGTGTCCCTCGGATCACCGATCAACGGAAAGAGCCGAAGATGTTGATTCGGTCATGTGATCAGTTGTGTCCAATCACAGCTGATCGCATGTAAATAGGGAAATGCCGGTTATCGGCATTTCTCTCCTCACAAGCTGTCACGCTGACAGCTCGTGAGGAGAGCCAGTAATCGGTATTCCTCAGAGGGGACATTTACACAAATCATCAGAGCACTGATGATCAGTGTGCCCTGATGATCTGTGTAGCCCCAGCAGTGCCACCTGTCAGTGCTCATCCATGCCACCTGCCAGTACCCGTCAGTGCCACATCAATGCCACACATCAGTGCCTACCAGTGCACATCAATGCCACATATCAGTGCCCATCTGAGCTGCCTTTCAGTGTCACACATCAGTGCCAATGAAAGTCAGTGCTGCCAATCAGTGCACATCAGTGCCGCCTATCAGTTCCGTCAGTGCCACCTATCAGAGCTGCCTTTCAGTGCTGCCTGTCAATGCCCATCAGTGATGCCTGTCAATGCCCATCAGTGCCACCTACCAGTGCCACCTATCAGTGTCCATCAGTGCAGCCTATCAGTGTCCATCAGTACAGCCTCATTAGCGCACATCAGTGAAGGAGAAAAATCATTTCAGTGGTTTTTGGTTTAAGAAAAAATAAAAAACCCAGAGGTGATTAAATACCACCAAAATAAAGGTCTGTCACAAAAAAAATGATAAGAATGTCATATGGGTACAGTGTTGCATGACCCCGCAATTGTCTTTCAAAGTGCAACAGCGCTGGAAATTGGCCTGGGCAGGAAGGGGGTATAAGTGCCCTGTAGGCTAGTGGTTAAAAGAGGCAGAGAACCTTGAAATGGGAGGCCAGTTGGTGGCTGTTTCCAGCCATGCTCTTTGCTGAGCCTACAAACAGCTCTCTGCCTGCAATGTCTAACTAACAGGAGGTAGGGGAGCTCTCTCTTTGCACAGCACACTGAGATATCAGCCCTCCCCCTGTGTAAGCTGCAGGTGTTCAGTATCCCTCTACACCTCCCAGTCCCCTCACATCACTGGACCTCAACAACCCTCCTCTCCGCCGATCTCCACTCAGCTGCCAGCGCACGTAAATGACGTAACGGCGCCTTTAGGTTACCTGCGTCGTCCGGGCCAGACCCTTGGCGCTCGCATGCGCAGTGAGGAGTCACGTCCAGGCCGGTAAACAAGGGATGAGGCGGCAGCAAGCTCGGAGCTGTGGGCAGCCTGAACACCGCGGTGCCTAGGTGATAAGACGGGGTCACCATGAACCTGGCCAGTCAGAACGTGGAGGCTGGAGCGGCTCAGCTCTTATTCGCCAACTTCAACCAGGACAACACGTACGTGAGTCTAGGGCGCTTAGGCAGCTGTGTATTGTGTTGTCCAATAGAGGAGTATTAGACATACCTATAAAGTAGTCATAGGATGGGGGAGGAGCCAGCTAGCAGGTGGTAGGTGAGCCTTGTATTGAGGGTGCTGTACACGTGTCCTGATGGTGTGGAGGATGGACATGGACACTTCATATGAGCTGGAGGTGTGGGGTAATGCTGGGTCTTGTAGTTCACCTCCAATGGAAAGCAGGACTTCCTGTACCCAGTACAGTATTACACCTGGAAGCATGGTGGCCCTGCTCTCTGGACAAAATAAACTTATATATAAATATATATATAAAAAATCGAGCGCAGTATGAGGATGTAGATAGGGTAGCTGCTGGCACAAAAGGCACCTCGTGAACCTCCAGAGTAATGGTAAAATATGAAAGTGCAGCGCTAACTTAAACAATGATTACACATAAGATAGATCCCATTTGAATGTGGATCAGCAAAAAAGACGGCGTCAGTTCATCAGATGTGCTAAATACGTATACAGTCTCCAACACTTGAAGAGCCAGGGATAGTAGATATCAGAAATGATAAAGAAAAGCCAAGTAATGCACTGACCAGATAGCGCAAGTTAAAGCGCATGGGACATATAAGACCTGTCCCTGGTACTCAGCCACTGTATCACTGGAGCAAGGCGGTGTCATCTATAGGGTGACCACTAGATGTCATCTGTCCGGATGGAAGCTGTGTTCAGCCACTGTGTTGATGGATCAGGTGGGTGTTGTCTGTAGGGTGACCACTAGATGTCATCGGTTCCAGGGGAAACTGTATCACGGATCCAGGGACGTCACTGCAGATGTGTTCTTGTTAGGCACAACCCCAGGACCTACTGGATTTACAGGCTCCCCAGAAATAAAGAGCCCGTGGAAAAAGGCCTCAAATAGTGTGATAACGTTTATTTAAAATTGAACAATCAGAAAAGAACTTACTTAGCAGAGGTACAGCTGCTTATAAACGGCCAGACCGGAGGTACATGTACATAAGATAAACATAGCTTGGCACTTCCCTAACGCGTATCGTGTAAGTACACATCATCAGAGGGGCATCAGAGCCCCTCTGATGATGTGTACTTACACGATACGCGTTAGGGAAGTGCCAAGCTATGTTTATCTTATGTACATGTACCTCCGGTCTGGCCGTTTATAAGCAGCTGTACCTCTGCTAAGTAAGTTCTTTTCTGATTGTTCAATTTTAAATAAACGTTATCACACTATTTGAGGCCTTTTTCCACGGGCTCTTTATTTCTGGGGAGCCTGTAAATCCAGTAGGTCCTGGGGTTGTGCCTAACAAGAACACATCTGCAGTGACGTCCCTGGATCCGTGATACAGTTTCCCCTGGAACCGATGACATCTAGTGGTCACCCTACAGACAACACCCACCTGATCCATCAACACAGTGGCTGAACACAGCTTCCATCCGGACAGATGACATCTAGTGGTCACCCTATAGATGACACCGCCTTGCTCCAGTGATACAGTGGCTGAGTACCAGGGACAGGTCTTATATGTCCCATGCGCTTTAACTTGCGCTATCTGGTCAGTGCATTACTTGGCTTTTCTTTATCATTTCTGATATCTACTATCCCTGGCTCTTCAAGTGTTGGAGACTGTATACGTATTTAGCACATCTGATGAACTGACGCCGTCTTTTTTGCTGATCCACATTCAAATGGGATCTATCTTATGTGTAATCATTGTTTAAGTTAGCGCTGCACTTTCATATTTTACCACTGCTCTCTGGACAATGGAAGTGTTCATTGTTTCTTCTCTTAACCAGATGTGCCGTGTACAGGCTCAATATGAAAAGACCTGTGTGACATGGTTGGGTTTTTTTTATAGGCTCATTGACACATGCTGCAAGGACTACTGCTCCTCTGAAAAGAGATCCAAGCTCTGGTTGCTTTTCAGAGGTGTCTGGCAGGTGACAAGGAGGTGATATGTTGCCTCCTTGTTCCCTTTTTGTAACCCCCTAAATGCTAGACTATCATTCCGCAACTGTGCACAATTCATGTCGTTACAGGGTGGCTCAATTTACTTTAAAGGATAAGTTCACCTTTTAATAGAAGTAATAAATGCACATTTTTTGCTGGTTAAGGAATGTGTATTTCTTTTTTGTTTGTGGAGCCTCTAAAGCATTGCACCATGGATCAGCAGATCTCTGGGGCCATGCAGGTCTCCCCACTGACTTATCGGTATATCTGTTTGATCATACATCTTGTACAGACAAGCAGATACTGGCAGGAAGGCTCAATGAAATGCCATGGAGCTGTGGAACACCATGATAGTTAATTGAAAACTACAAGCTGACAGCTGCAAAGGCTGTTGGAACTTGTAGTTTTCCAATTACTGTGTATGAATGATGTGGCCGGGCGGGCAGAGCCACGCACGGCTGAATTAAAAAAAAAAAAAATTGTGACAGCTAGCAGGGAGTAGAAGATCCCCTGCTAGCTGTCACAACGGGAATCGGGGATGAGGCAGCCGGTCCATTTGTAACACGCTACACCCTGAATATGGGTGTAACGTTACGAAAGGTGAACTTATCCTTTAATAAGTTGCATTTGCTGGCAGTAGTGCCCACCAAAGTCAACAGAGGGTATAATTCCTATCACGGTCGCTGCACATGTCACTGACATAAACGGCCAGGTGGGACAAGCACCATTCTGAATGTATCTGAAAATCCTGTCCGAACCTGTGCTTGGGGCTGATTGGCGGCGTGATCCCTAGCACACAGTACATTACAGATTGGGATATAGTCTCTCTGATTGGTTGTCCCAATCATGTGATGCTGTGTCTAATCACAGCCATCACACAATGTAAACCGAGGCATGTGCCTTCGTGTTGGCTTTCCTCTTGAGTTCGGGAGGGAGAGGGGGATTGCTGCAGCCTGTCAGCTGTGTGTGTAGCTGATGATTTTTCTGTTCAGCTACATACAGATAACACAGAGTGCAGTCATCCAACACCAAGCACTGTCTGTCCCTTGTCCAAGTGCACATGAACATTTGTCACAGTGTAGCAGTGCACAAAAACATCTGTTACAGTGTACCAGTCTCCCATCAACATATCTAGCAGTGTCTCCCTGCAACATCAATGTCTGTCTGTGTCCCTAGTGGATAGTATATCATCCATTGGTAGAAACCAATAGATGATAAACAACTGTTTGTGTCTGCTGGTGGATAGTCAACATATGTCACAAGTGCACAAAATATCCGTCAGTGTCTCATCAACATCTGTCCCAGTGTCCCATCAACATCTGCAATAGTGTCCAATTGCAACATCAACATCTGTTGGTGTCCTGCCATCGCCTCTCCGGGATCTCCATCCCACCGGATATCCCGGAACTGAATATTTTCGCTGGCTTACCATAGGTGCCACGGAGGACTGGAAGGTGTCTAATGGACTGTATGGTGTATGAAACTGGAAGTGACTAGTGCTGAAGTCACTTCCTGTTTCCCTGAATGTAAACTGCCATTTTTAAATGGGAAAAGCATCTGAACACGATCTTGGTGTGATCAGATGGTTTTAGAGCAAAGTAGAGATCTGGGGTCTAATAGACCCTAGATTTCTCAGAAAAGAGGACCTGTCATTGCCTGTTGCTATCACGGGGATATTTACAATCCCTGTTATAACAATAAAAGTGATTGAAAAAAATAAAATGAAAGCGTAAAAATAATAAGCAAAATAAATTTTAAAAAAAACCCTGCCACTGCCTATTGTCACAAGTGATGTTTACATTCCTTGTGATAGCAATAAAAGTTATAAAAAAAAAAAAAAAAACCCTGTGTTTAAAAAAAAAAAAAAAAGAAAAATTTTTTTTTTAATTTTTTATATATATATATATATATATATATATATATATATATAATGAGTAATTTTAAAGTGCTTACGTGCAAAGGTGAACGCACATGTTGGTCCCATATGTATACGTAACCACACGTATTTGGTTTTGCTGTGAATGTCAGACCGAAAACAATAATTCTAGCATTAGACGTGCTCTGTAACTAAACTGGTAACCTGCAGAGGCTTACAAATTGTCACCTATGGAGATTTTTAAATACCGTAGTTTGGCGCCATTCCACAAGAATGCACAATTTTAAAGCCTGACCAGTTTAGTGTCTGTTTACTCAACCCACCACCATATTTTATATTTTACCAAAAAATTGGGTATTGTGTTTGTTTGCATTAAATTCACTAAAGTGCACTTTTTCCCAAAATTGTGTTCAAAAA